TTACTAATGATGATATTGATGATATTAATAAAATACAGGATCTTATTGACCAATTAGCTAAAGATATATACAAAGATTCAATCTTCGTGAAAGAATATCTTCAATATAAAAAAGAAGAAAATATTCATCAAATGATAACTGATGAAGAAATTTTAAAATTTCTGAAAGAGCCAGAAGAAGATATTGAAGAAGAAGTTGAAGTTCCCATTATTGGCAATTATGAAACATTAGCAGCACTTGAAAAAATAATTATGTATGTTAAACAAAAAGCTGAAAAAATTCAATTTCAAAAAGACCAAATTCGGGCAATAAAAAAATTGCGAAAGGCTATAGAACGAGAAGAATTTTGTTCCAAGCAATAAGTTACCTTAGACTCTTTTGTAGAAATGGATTTGACAGGTGAGAAAAATGAATAGAAGTTTGTAAAGTTTTATAGCAGGAAGGATTTTTTTTTTACCAATTTTGTTATTAAACCTCTTGAATATATAATAAAAATGACAATCATATTATAAATAATATACCGAATTTGTATATGATATTCAATACAACCATAAACAAATAAACTTAAAAAATTTGGTAAAACGTTACCGAATTCTTTTATTATAACGAATTGTGATCTCTGAAAATGGAGATTCGTTATAGATCACTTCAACTGTATTATCACAATATAATATTCACAATTTAATATTCATTGATAATACATTAATTAAAAATAATATAAAAATTTATTTATAATATCATTTCTTTTTTTACATAATCAATATTAAATTTTTTATATAAAATATAACTAAAAAAATTAATAGTTTATAGTTATATATTTAATTTAAAAAAAAAAAGATTTTAAAATCATTAAAGAATTTAATATTAGTAGATTTATAAAAATAGATTATATAGGCCTTTGTAATAAAAAGGGAAGAAACAGCTGAAAAATTAAAAAATGAAATAATGAGAACATTTAATATAATGTGATTGGAGGAAAATTTTTGATATATTAAAGTAAGACAGGTTACATAATAAAATTTTTAAATAATTTAAATAATTCAAAAAAAAATCACATATTTATTTATAGATTTAAAACTATCTAACTTATGAGTTGATATAAAATTATGTAACTCATAATTTAAAAATTATTTATAGTTTCACAAATTTTTAAGAGATTTTGCAAAGAAATTTGCAATTCTCTAAGAGTTTCACAAATAATTGCAAAAAACTTAAAAAAAATAAATAAAAAAATATAAATACAATACTTATAAATAATAAATTTTTATTGAAAAAAATAAAAAAAATAAAAAATAAATTTTATTTTATCCAATAACTATTTCTAAGAAAAAAGAAACAAAAGCTAATTATATTTTTAAAACAATAACAAAAATATCAAGAAGCTAAAATTCAAGTTAAGAATAATCACAAAAAAAATATGAAATATTAATAATATTCCTCAAAAAAAAATAAAAAAAATAAAAAAATAAAAAAAAACTTACCATTTTAATAAATAAAATCTAGAATCGTCACTAAAAAAAGGAAATCTTTCACCTTACCAAAGTCCAAGAATATCGCTTATTATAACTGTAAAATAATCTATAAAAATATTTTAACAATAATTAATTAGCATTTTTTTTAATTTATTTTAATTTTATAAATTTATTTTTTTAATTAAATATTAATTTAATTTTAATAAATTTAATATGTTTGTATATTACTAGAATAAAATTTCTAAAATAAAAAAAAAAATAAAAAAAAAGTTTTTACTTATTATATCGAATTCTCTACAAATCTAAGACTACCGCTAAAGAAAATAAGAAAGGAATTTTAATAAAGTTTCTTAAATAAAAATAAATAAAAATAAAAATAAATCACTAACTATTTAAATGAAAACTAAATCTTTCACATCCAAGAACACTGTTAAGAAAAAAAAGAAAAGAAGCATTAACAAAGTTTCTTAAACAAAAAAAATAAAAATAAAATAAATTACTTATTATTAAATGAAAGCTGAATTATTCATCTTGTCAAAATCTAAGACCACCGCTAGAGGAAAAAAAAAGAAACATTAATAAAATTCTTAAAATAAAAAAAATAAAAATAAAAATAAGTTCACTTACCATTTAAACAAAAGCTGAACCCTCCTTCATCTTGTCAAAATCAAGAATATCGCTAAAAAAAAAGAAAAGGAATATTAATAAGTTTCTAAAAAAAAATAAAATAAAATAAATCACTCATTATTAAATGAAAGCCAAATTCTTCACCTTCTTATTTTAGTATCACCTTATCACCTTTATTTATTTCACAAAAACTGATTTATCTCAAAAACTACTATAAGGTAGTTTTCCATCTTTCTATTGCAAAGGGCCTATATTATCTAAAGACTATATAATAGTATTAAATACAGTATAATAATTTCTATATTTATAATGAAAATTATCTTAAAAATAAATATTATCATAATTATATAAACTAATATGGTTAAATATTCTTAGAATATTAATTTCATGATATTTTATTTTTTATAAATATTCTAACATTTCTATAATAATTTTATTTTTTCTTCCTTTTATAGAACTATTATATATTATATTTCTAAGGATCTTTAGAAGCAAATTTATGGTATAGTAAAGAAAAATTTACAAATAATCTACAGAAAATGATAGATAAAATAGATAGATTAATAATTAGCCTAAATATAATTTAAACTAGGTAAAAATAATTAATAAAAAAAGAAGTAATTTTTTTATTAGTTATTATTTAATAATTGAATATAATAAAGATGTATTTTGATTATTTAAAAAGTATTTTAATAATAAGTTAGTAAAGTCTTCATATTTTCTGACTTAGAAACTGAAATTAAGAATGAATATCAAGGTGAGATTTTAAGAAAAGTATGTAATGCTTAATTTTTACCTTTAAGAAAGAAATTAAGTAAAGATTCTCTTAAGTATAATATAAGTTTTGAACTAAATTTAGCTGTTGCTTAATCAGTTTAGTGTTTCAGTCTGTTTAATCAAAAGTTAGATAATAATATTTTTTTAATATTCAGAAATTAGTATTTTTTTCAATATCAACTATTTTTGTAACAATTATATTAATCTATTTTTGAAAAAACAAAAACCATTTGTTTAAAAATCATGAAGGATTAATCTAATTTTAGAATTATTTCAAAGTGCAGAATAAAAAATTTTAACAATTATTAATATTAAATTTGATCTTTGTAAAGATAAGATTATTTTATTTTATTTTTTTTAAAAAAGATATCTTAGTTTTATAAATACACTTATTTTTATTAATTATTTAAAATTATATTAGTAATTTATTTAATTAAAAAACTTGATTTTTATAATTCTTATTTTTTTTTAAAATGTATAAAAAAATTTACATAATATTATATAATGTATAATTTTAAATATATTATTAAAATTCTAAAAATTTGAAGATCAAAAACAGGATAAATTTAAACGGTAGTTTGCTATTTATTACCGGTGGTGATGATCACCGGTGTTCATAATTCGGGCCGAATTGATGAAAATTACCTATGTGACAAATAATTTGTGATGAATAAGTTTTTTATAGTGAAAATTTTCTGGAATAAATAGTAAAATTGAAAGACAGGAGAGGTGTGACACAGGTGACAAATATAGGTTACGTGACACCGGTGATACGTACGTAGTATTCTTTAAAAAAAGATGCTAAAAAAAAATCGATTTCCAATTTTTTTTTTTCTTCCAATTTTTACCATAAGTTTATTAAAAATTCTAAATGTTAATTAGCATTTTTAGTTTGAGAAATATTTTTTTAAAAAATAGATATTGGAACAATCAGTGGCTACAAGTTCAATTGATAATCTCTCGATGTCATTGACAAAAAATTTAAATTACCAGAATAGAAGTTGTGACTCATTGACACGCGGATGGTTCTTTGCTTTGCATAACGAATAATAGGATTGACGCATACATGTTCTGTATTGTATCAATCTGCAAAATGACAAACGCCGAGAGTTTCACGTAATATTTATTTTTTTTTTTTTTTTCTGTAAAATCGATATTTAATGAACTTACTTTTCTTTTTTAATTTTGAAAAAAAAAAAAAAAAAAAAAAATTTTCTTTCAAAAAAAAAAAAAATAAACTACACAAATAAATGATTATTACTCTTATCCAAACCATGCCATCAATCGGCAGGTTACCCTTACCCGAAACTTGCCGACAATTGTCGGTAGGTTAACCTTACCCGAAGTGGAATGCGTCGCTGCCCACAATATCCCCGGGGGCGACAGTCGGCAGGATAGAAGCCTGCCGACAATTCTAACGTACTTGCCGAGAATAATATCAACCGGCAGGTCGGGCAAAATAAAACGTTTGGATGTGTGTACTTGGTTTTTAGTTTGGGTATTTGGATGTACAAATAGTTAGTTATATTTATATTTTAATTGTTGTATTTGGGTTGGAAGTGCAAATTAAAAGATGTAGGCAATTGTAGTTTTTGAACTTTAAAAATAATCGTGTATTTTTTATTTTTTATTTTTTAATGATTCCATTAATAAATATAACACCATTTGTTAACCTATAATAAATATTCTAATTTTAAATATATTAATTGAATATGTTATAAAAGTAAACTAACAATGTTCTATAAAACTTTGGGTTTGTGTTCAGAGTAACGTAACACAACAACAACAAGCGTCGCACGTTCATAAAAAAATTTTAAATTCGAATATTATTTTCTTTCCATGACAAAATTTTTAAGATGCAAAACGAAGATGAATTATTAATTTATTGATAATGGTCAATAGGTAATCTACAAAGGAACTTTAATACCAGGGAACGGTTTCGGAAACCATTGTTAAGTCCTGACTAACAAACCAGTCACACCAATTTGATGTAAAATGAAATATGAATTTCGAATATAAGGTTTATGAAAACCTAAAATTGGTATGTATTTTTTTCCATTTCACCATGTATAGCTTATATAGAGTGTTTATTTTTTTACCAAAATCATAGAAAATATTATGCTTTTATTTAATATACTTGTTTTTCATATAGTCAATTACATGGAGTTTTGCTATTGACATTCTCACGCAGAATACAAGTTAATGTATGCTTTTTTTACACGTGTTTTACCAAGTCTATACTAATACATCCAGTTAGATGCATTATTTGTGGTTACGTTTAGGAATGCGCTCTTCAATATTTTCATGACGCGTTATGAATAATGACAAGTGTAACTTCCATAATGCATAATAAAATATACTTTTGCATTTTTTTTTGGAATAGGTAATTAAAACTCATGATTCTCTGATGAATCACTTCATCCAATCACCTTCATTTTTCCTTAACTACTTATCTATACCATCTTAATGTGTGAAATCGATTTCTA